CGTCTGTACTCGATGTAAGTCTTTTACACATAAGGTCAGAATTTTTAGGAGTATCCGCCTTTGTGCGGACATGGTAGACCACAAAAATCATCAGCCTCCAGTCTGGTCCAGGATAATTACTCTAAACTGAAAGGCCATCGATCAAAGAGCAAACGAGGCGAGCAAGGCTGCCTGTGACGCCTGACCCTCTCACAGGCCTAGAAATCAGAGGCTGTCCTGGCCTTGAAGCCTTCAGACATGAAATGCCCGATCAGACCGATGCATCCGACGTTGCCAAAGCAAACATCATCACTCAGCTTTTTATCTTACATTTAAACGTTGCACCAACTTTGCATCCAATTTAAACTATAAAGTAAACAACTCAATAAATAGACTAAAAATGTACTTAATAATGTGTAATAAAGTGAAGTGACTAAAGAGTCCTGTAGACCTGTAGAGAAAAAAAAAGAAAAAAAAAAGAAAAAGAAAGGAAACTCAGTCATAAAAGGCCTTGATCAGATTTTGTGCTATTGCAAAGTATCAAAGATAAGTTCTTCTGACGTTTCGTCTTATACACACAAACACCAAGGTCTGCGCATTGTAAACTTTGATGGTTAAGAAATGAAACTGGAGGTATTTTGTCAAAATCCTGCAAGTTTTGTAAATGCTTTGATTTCATGAAAATTTTGTGTGCAAGTTGTGTAAAAAGTGGCATATACCCACTCCACTAGAGCAAAGAACAATCCCATTTAGTATAGGCATGTAGGGGACGTAAACTGGTCCTACTGGTGCACTATAAAAATTAACCACTCTATTATTTCATACTTTTATGGCAGTAAATCTATTTCCCTACCGTGCTTAATCATCTGGGAAATCAGTTGCTAAGAACATCCCTAATGAAAAATCAGAGAAAATTATTTGAACAGCTGGGTCAGAAGACTGTTTAGAGACTCGTATTCCTGCCGTGCTACTTGCTGCCAATCACTTAATGATGCCAATTTAGTCATAAAGCACACTTTCATTGTTTCCTCCACTGCTTTTAGCACAGTCTTCAAAGATTCTTTTGTCAGAGTTCAAATGCATAACAAAATACTCAGCTTCACATTTAAAAACTGTTCTGAAAAAGCCTGTGGCTCATCAAGCAAACTAATAATGTACTGTGTCTCTTATAATAAGCTAAATGAAACAGTGAATAGGATGTAAAAATTAGAAGAGGGCCAATAGTAGCTGCAATTAACCACAGGAAAAAGACAGGAAGTTTATTCCATCTCTGAGTCACTATGGCAACCTTAACTTGCAAGTTCAAAAAAAGCACAGGAAATGAAAAGAGGAGGGGTGAAATGTGAGGTTCTCTCAACGGTTTACACATTTTCTTCAGAGCATATCAGCTGAAACTTGCTTAGCTGACACATTTTACTGACTGAAAGAATTCAATCCACCTCACCCCATTATGAAGCCAAATGCTGTTCCTGGCCTCAACGTTACACTGATCTGATTTTGCTAAACAAAAAGACAACATTTTCAGTGTCTGGTGAATTAAAAAGTTCTGTTATAAAATACTGTTGGCACTGTAGGTTTGACTGGGAGGTTCACTAGGCACAGTCGCTCCTGAAAAATTAAATATTTTTGGTAGTACCAACCCCCCTGCCTCCAATTATTGCAAGCTGAATGTCTGCAGCACCTGAAAGTAATTGCACACAAGTGCATTTAGACAAGTGCATTTAGATTTCTGAATCAGTATTGTACCTACCTACTGACCTCAGAGGATGTGGAAATTGCTTTGAGACGTCATCATGCAGACTTAAGCAACAGAGAGATACCACTACAGTATCCATCCGTAGCACATCTCAAACAGAAAAAAAACTTAAATCTACAACCAACAGATTTGCAAAGGAGAAAAAATGTACAATAAAAGCAAGCAATAAATAAATAATAAATGCCCCTTGAGACTGCTCAGTTTGTTTGCAGATGACACCCCTTCTTGAGTTTGTGTCTTTACTGACAATCTGTTCTGGGCCATAAGAAAAAAAGAAAAAACAAACACACACACACACACACACACACACACACACACACACACACACACACACACACACACACACACTGGCCTTAAAGAATACAGCTCTCTATACACTGAGAACAACCACCAGACTTCTCTGGTTAATGCATAACCTTGAGTTGTCCACATAGTCATTGGGGCATTAACTGTCAACTGCGCACCATGCTGCATGTCATGGTGGTGGTGAGGGACGAAAAAGCAGCAAAGCCGGCAAATGGTTCTGTCTAACTAGTTCCCCAAGTATTTGTTTTCCCCTGGAGATTCACCAATCTTGCTCTTTTCCTACAGCTTACTGCTGAAAATGTTTTTTTAACCAAGTTCAATCTAGTCTGAACTCTCTGAGAGGCAAGTATCACAAATACAAGAGAACGTCGGAAATATTTATTTAAAACAAACAAAAAAAAACAAAAAAAAAACAAAACAGGGAATTTAAGTTACTTAAGGTTACAAAGCTTTTTTTTTTTTTTTTTAAACATTTCCACTGAAGTACAGTGTTTACATTCTTAGGCATATGCCCCTCAGTATTAGACAAAAGATTAGCTTAACAGTTCTCTTTTTTTATTGGATCTTTTTTGCAAAGAATGCAAAAAAGTGTTAATACAGAACCTGACTGAACAAATTCTTGGATTTTTTTTCTGCAGCAAAAAATGTGCCTTGTGCTCTTTTTGGCTGATATTTTATACAACTTAAAAAAAAGGGGGGAGGGGGCAGCACGCACACACACACACCCACACAGAATAAGCCAAGCACAGAAACAAGGAAACTAGTCTGGACTTGCCTAAGGACAACCTCTTTCCAGAGTGTAATATGAAACAAAGTCGTCTTCCCAAGAAATAACACATCATCATCAGTGATGACATGTGAAAAAGCACAACTCCAACCAAGCTCCAATTGTGTTGAACTACCACTGTTTCCTGTCCGCAGACAAACAAGTCATAGACATTTCTAATTCTGGTTCTTTTCT